CCGTAGCGGAGGATTATAATATAGAAGACTCTTTACAAAATAAAACGACTATTGCAGGTCAAATTTTATCCAGAACCTCAGCGGACACTACCATTGCTTCTAATCTTTGTACAAGATTCACGTCAGAGATAACTTCTACTTGTACTACAGTTATAAATGAAACTGGCCATGGAATAACTTATTCCAATTGTAATTTCACTAATTGTACATTTAATTTGAGTAAATAATTAATTTACGTTGACTTGATTTTTCTTATATTTTTTTCAATTATCGCTTCAGTGTTAAGAGTAAATCACGTGATTAGCTTTTAGCACCAGTGCTAAAAGTAAATGACTTTTACCATCAGTAACATAATGTCGTATTTTAGGCACTGACAGCACGCGTTCAAAATTACATTTTTACTGACGTTTGTAGAAAAATAACTATTTTTTTCAAACGTCACAAAAGTATTAATTTTTCCGACGTGATTGACAATAAAAAAAATAATTTTAACGTTTAAGTGATTTCGCCTAATTCAATTTTATAAATTTATTTCATTGATTAAAAAAAAATTGTAAAATAGTAAAAATTCGCTGGCATACCTATGTATAAAAATATGCCAAGAAAATTAAGAACAGAGGAAATACATATATCTAGCAGTTTACCTACCTACATACCTACTCGCTATCATCACCTTCTGAACATTCTTCTAAACACCTGACTAAATTATTTTCGGAAAATTGTCGAATTTTCCATCCATTGTTTGACGCAAATATCCGTGCTTTAACCTATTCAAGACTAGTTTGCGTGGTGTAAAAGTTTATTTTAACTTCGACAGATGACTAATATCATAGCTAGTTGGAATTGTTGACTGACTTGGTGAAAGACAGGGTTAATAAACAGGTCTGTGATCCTATTTTTCTCGTAAATACGTACGTTATATGTTTAAAAAAAACTTAAAATTTAAAAATAATCGACTTAACAGTGGTGATAATCCGGTGGGGGCCTTTACACATTTACACGATTAAATAATGTTGTCATTTCTAGCATGAAAACTAGAAAGATAGATTTTATGTACTAAAAATAGTAAATTATTTTTTTTGCAGAGGTTGTGCCGTCCATTCTTCAGAACTCACGAGCCGCCACTGATTATTGTTCCTTTTTATTTGGAAATATTCCGTAGAAATATTTTATATGTAATAGGGTCTCCTTGTGCATGAAAACTGAAACAAATACAGGGTATTTCAAAAAACATGTGCCATCTCTTGTGGGGGGATTCCTCCCGTAAAAATAAAATATATTTTTATACCTATCAATAAACAGGATGTTTCAAAAAACATGTCTCATCTGTCGTGGCGGGGAGATTCCTCACACAAAAATAAGATTTATTTTTCATATCAACATAAGTCTGATTTTGCTTTGTTTCGTATAGCTACAGAGTGTTGAAACTTAAAATTAAAACATTAAAAGTTATCTATTTAATAAAATTAAAATACAAATAAAAATAATAAATTATATATTTTACCTAATTTTTATTATTAGGTACTATTAGTCCAACCTACAGCAATTTCAAATAAAACATTACAAAAAACCTAATTTTAAAAAGTTTTAACATCCTGTAACTCTAAAACTATATATGCATTTCCATACACAAGAACTTTTTTTCGTATTTTTTGATGATGATTTTTTCATGATTACTCATGATGAATCAATGAGTACTTATTTAAAACTTTCGCATGTTAATGATATTATTTTCTTTAAAGGTTGCTATTAAACTTGGATCAAGGCAAATTAATAAAATTGCGCTTATCTCACCAAGGAAGCCAAAATCGACAAAATATCAAGAGACAACTTTTAATCGGCATTAAACTGCTTACACTATTTCACTAACAAGGGAAAAAAGTCAGTGGCGTACACGCTTTTTTAGAAAAATATTCCTATGATGACCCATATGCACGTCCCTGGTGAATATGTCGACACTTTTTTAGCTTTAAAATATGTCGCATTTACAGTAACTTTTATCTTGAAATTTTCATTCGAAACGCTAAAAGTACTTGGAAGAAAATTATAATAAATCGAAAAAATATTAAGATTTTCACACCCTGTAACTACGAAATAAAGCAGAATCGGCCGTATGTTAATATGAAAAATAAATCTTATTTTTACGCGATGAATCTCCCCACGAGAGAGGGCACATGCCTTTTGAAACACCCTGTATAGATCCGATTCTGCTGTTTCGTAGAGGGTTAATCGTTTTTTTTCGATTTATTATAATTTTCTTCCAAGCGCTTTTAGGAATTCGAATGAAATTTTGGGGGTAAAAGTTATTATAATTGCTACATATTTTAGTACTAAAAAAGTGTTGACAGATTCACCAGAGATGTGCCAATGGGTTATCACTGGGATATTTTTCTAAAAAAAATGTGCCCAACTGATTTTTTTTGTTTTGTTAGCAAAATTGTGTAGGCCGTTTAATGCCTGTGCTGAGAAAAAAATGTCAATGGCGTACAGGTTTTTTTTAGAAAAAATATTCCAGTGATAAAACCCATATCTACGTCCCTGTAGATAAATTTGTGGACACATTTTTAGCATTAAAATATGTCGCACTTAGGGTAACTTTTCATTCGAATTACCTAGTTCATTCCTGTATATCTGAAAATTAGTACCTATATTTAGAGGTAATATACAATAGTACACATCAAAAATAATATTTTTCCCGGTGATAGAGTTTTTTATAAAGAAAAAAATAAAACATTTCATGTTGATGTCATCTATCACCACTTTTGGCACTAATAGATACATCTAGAGCAATATACAATATATTTATGATCCAAAAAACAATGGCTATGAAATGAAGATCGCTGCCATTTTATATGTAAAATTATATGGGGACTGTCATCGTCATTTCCAAGCCAACTGGACGCCGTTTTTTTTTCGATCATACAGTTTTTTTTCTTATTGGACATGCTGAATCGATTCTTTTGACACACCCTTTTTTAATGAAAATTAAATTTTAAAAAAATACTACAGGCTTATCGCTAATTATATACAGGGTGGCGCACCTCATTAGCCTCGGTTGATTATACGAAAACGAAAAGATGTAGAAACAAAGTATTTTATGGGTATATGCAGAGAGACAATATGCATAATTTAAAATTATTTTGAAATGTACAGGGTGTGTCAGAACTAAGATCCATATACTAAAGTTGTATTTTTTCTTATGGATCACCCGGTATTTTATTTCATTTTTGGATTCTTGGACATAAAATAAGGCATTTATTATAAGAGTTTGATATATCTAAAAACTTTGGTTTTTGAAATATTTAAACATGCATGCGATATAATAAAAAGGTTGGTCAACACCTTGTACATTACTTTTCAGAATTAATTCTGGTGCTGACTTTCAAGCCAGAGAAATAAACTTAACTAAAAAATTTGATTGCTTCTTTAAATGTAATACAGGGGTATCAAAAATTACTGGTCTATTTTAACTAGGTATTTATTTTACATAAAAACTTCTTTATTTCAAATGCAACACTATGTATTTTTTAAATAAGTCGAAGCAGATTTAAATGTTCTTTCAAACTATATTAGGGTTTCCTATACCTATCTGGCTCAGATTTTGAACAAAAAACGATTTTTCAATAAAACCGTAATCAAGATGGTTGGTGTCGCCATGGCAATTTTTTAGTAACACTTAGTAGCTATTTTCAAAATCGACATTAGTTTATAGACTTTATTTAAATTTATAACAGTTTACTTTTTATTTAATTTACCTGCAACAGTTTAATAAGTAAGCATTTATTATTTTGTTAAGAAAAATATAGAAGAAATATAGAAGTAGTTCTTTGATTTCTTTTACGATGACTTGTAGATGTATTGGATTTTCCATAAAAGAACCAATTAAGGCAAATTCATTTTCTTCGCTTCCAACGACAAGTGTCTGCCTAATAGGTTTTTCATCAGCTCTGCGAAATAGGAAAAGTAATTTTTCAAAGGAACACTTATCAGGAAGATTCCTATTTGGATACCTTTGAGCATAAACCCTTCAGGCCAACAAGCAATTGTCCTCACAAAATAAAATCTCTAGTAACATATGCATTCCTTCCGCCAGCAGATACTGCTTCATTTTTCTTGATAAAATAATAAATACTTACTTATTAATACTATTGTAGGTAAATTAAAAAAAATAACCTGTTACAAATTTAAATAAAGTCCATAAACTAATGTCGAACTAATAGCTTATTGTCATGGCGACACCAGCCATCTTGATTACAATTTTATTGAAAAATCGCTTTTTATTCAAAATCTGAGCGAGATAGGTACAGGAAACCCTAATATAGCTTGAAAGAACATTTAAATCTGACTTATTTAAAAAAAATACATAGTGTTGCGTTTGAAATAACGAAGTTTTTATGTAAAATAAATAGTTAAAATAGAGCAGCAATTTTTGATACCCCTGTATACATTTAAGGAAGCAATCAAATTTTTTAGTTAAGTTTATTTGTCTGGCTTGAAAGTCAGCACCATAATTAATTCTGAAAAGTAATGTACCTACAAGGTGTTGACAAACCTTTTTATTATAGCATGCATATTTAAATATCTTTAAATATCTCAAAAACCAAAGCTTTTAGACATATCAAACCCTTATAATAAATACCTTATTTTATGTCCAAGAATCCAAAAATGAAATAAAATACTGGATGTGTTCCATAAAAAAAAATATAACTTTGGTATGGATCTTAGTTCTGACACACCCTGTACATTTCAAAGTAATTTTAAATTATGCACATTGCCTTCCCACATATACCCATAAAATAGTTTGTTTCTACATCTTTCCGTTTTCGTATAATCAACCGAGGCGAATGAGGTGCGCCACCCTGTTATGTGTTTTTATCCCTCAGGTTCATACTATTAAATTCATAGTTACACATCAGAACTTACACATAAGAAAGCTAAATTCGAAAGTGCTAAAGTTAACTTTGTCTATATCATCCATTAAAAAAAAACTATAACTAACATTAAATTATAAAACTATAAAAAATACTTTATTTTTACTTTAAATAAAATAATTAAATAGTAAATGTAAAACAGTCAATATATGTAATTTCTTAAACCTAGCTATTTATGTTGAGGTGTATCCTGTAATAATAAACATTGTTGTTGTAATTTTATAGACATATTAGCTCGCCAGTTTGAAATTTTGGGTGATTCGCTTGCTTGGTTTTTCAAAATTTTTGGTGTTAATAAGGCACTGCATGAACTTTTAGTTGAATTGTATAAGCTCATGGCATTTTTAATTCTAGGGCTGTCGATTTGATATTTTTGGCACTTTGATACTAAACTTTTTGTTAAAGTAGATTTTCTCAAATCTCCGGCTTTAAGTATTACCGGAGATCCAGCAGGCTTTGTCGGACTCTTATTTTTTAATCGAAGGGATCTTCTTTTTGGCGCAAAACAATTTTCTTTTTGTGCAGACTTCTCATTTTCATCGTCAAGTGATTCTATTAAGGAGAATATTCTTTTATAATTCTCCTCATGATTTTTGTGCATTATTAAAAACATTTCTCTAATTCTATTTGATGTAAGCTCATACTGCTCTTGGTCCTTCTGTAACAGATCTTTTATTTCCTTTAAAATTTCATCTTTATTCTGTACATCATTAGGAATATTCTTTTTAGTACTATTTAACAGCATATTATTCTGTAGCAGACTACAAACTGAAGAAAGAGGACTCTCTTTTGGTTTAGTTGTTTCACAAAACTGTTCAAGCTTAACAAACTGTAGTGTATCAGGAGAATCACTGTCTTTAAAATCCACATCATTTTTCAGATTAGGTGTTGTTCGTACCTTAGAAGCATTACAATTATTATGTTCTGAAACTGTAATTCTTGGTGAAGGAAGTCTTGGTGATTTCAGAGGATTTTTATTATTTTTACTGGAAGAATTTGGGCATGTACCTGTTTTCTAAAACACAGTAAAACTGTTAAGTGCTAAGATGAAAACATAAATATTAACAATATGACTTACTTGACACAAGACTTTCAATCGAGGTAAAGTTGATAATAAATATTGTTTACAATTTTCAGGAGACGTGTGAAGAGTAGAATCTCTGTTAGCGTTTTTCTTTTTCTTTTGACTGCTACCCTGATTTTTAACACAGTAGAACTGTTAAGTGCTAAGATGAAAACATAAATATTAACAATATGACTTACTTGACCCAAGACTTTCAATCGAGGTAAAGTTGATAATAAATATTGTTTACAACTTTCAGGAGACGTGTGAAGAGTAGAATCTCTATTAGCGTTTTTCTTTTTCTTTTGACTGCTACCCTGATTTTTAAATAGTTCCTTTCTCACCCCAGTACACATTCTTCGAAATTTCAGGGGTTGTAAAACATAATCATCTGCAATTTAAAAAGTTTATTCTACAGAAATAAACATTTGCTTACTTACCATTTTCAGGCAAATTTCGTTTGGGATAGTCCTCAGAGTCTAGATTATAAAAATAAGATAATTAACCAAAAATATCCTTATGGGTTTTTCGCCACTGCACTGCAAGAAAAATCTACAAAATAAAATAGTTATTTTTTGTAAACACTTCTGCGTTAAACCTAAACGGACGCTGCTTGTCAGAAGTTGTGTTTACAGTAATAAAAATTTGCCTAACAAAGAAAAAAATGCTTAACGTTTCGGAAAGTTTTCTCTTTCCGTCGTCGGAAGCAAAAAAATATAAAGAATCAAGAAAAAAACTAATTAAAATATTTAAATTGAACTATTCGAGAACATTTTACTTTTTAAAACAGATACGTCTACAAGAAATCGTTGAGGTTATTTTGTAGATTTTTCTTGCAGTGCAATGGCGAAAAACCCATAAGGATTTTTTTTGGATAGATGAATCCGCCACATAGGTATAGACATTTTTTAAGATAATTAAGTTCGATATTTAAAATATAAAATACAAACTCACCAGTCATCTTTTTCAGTAATCTTAAACATATGAACTAGTCAGGTTAATAAAATTAACGGAAATTTAAATGCCTTTAAATTTTAAATCCCGCTTTATATGAACAGCTGACAACAGTGACAAGTGACAACTAGTGAAATCAACAATCATTGTCACCAATACTGTAAAATGAAAATCACCAGATAGATGCGTCGGTAGCTGCCAGATTTATCAAAAATCATCAGGTATTGTGCAATATGAAAAAACTAGAGGTTTAAGCTTGGCGTAGTTTAAGATTTGGTTTACTTTGGTTTCAACATGCTTTATTTTATAGCTATAACTTAATAGTTACCTCTGTGAAACGATTTTGTTCGAAAAGTAATATATACAAGTAATATATAGGGACACAAAATCAATAGACAATTCCAGAACACGTGACTTTGACAGATCCGCCATTTTCGCAGAGAGGCTAGCAGAGGCATACAAACCGTAAACTATGGAGTCTAAACCGTAAACAAACCATTCATATGAATCCATTTCCATTTCATCCATCCATCCATTTGAGATTTTAGTCTTTTATAGCGTTATAAACATATTTTCTTTAATTCTTAATTTTCTTTAATCCTCAATTTTAATTAACCTAGAATCAGTAGAAGGTCAACCGATTAAGGGGTGTTTTTATGAGGCCGAATTACAGAAGACAAAGTTTCCTGGTATTAATCCAGTTAAAATAATACTAAGTCACCGGAAGAAAAATAATATTAAACAGTTTTATGTGGAGTTAAAAAATCCCAATTTTGGATAATTAATCTGGTGGTTAAAAATACAAAATTAGAATTATTATTAAAATTAGAAATAGTTCATCGGTAAAATTTATATATTTTAACTAAAAATTCCTGCATTATAAAATTGATCCCTTTTCTTGTAAAAATGTACAAAATAGGAATACAAGAAATTTTGATTTTTTGATTGTGGATTGTGGGTATATGAATGACATAAACGTTTGCGAGCTTTTCTAGTTTCTATATTTTAATAATTTTATATAATAGTAGTATTGGTAGTTTGGTAGTACAAACATGGTACAAACCTAAGGTACAAACTACTGTCAGAAAAATATATTATTTGATATTCTTTAAATCTGGCAACTTTTAAAGAGAAAGCATTTAGTAAAATTTGTTTTTTTTTATTGGCAACTTGGAAGATTAGTCTCAGGGTCGGGTGTTTTGTTTTTTACGTTGTTTAACAAATACATTTAATGTATCTATTGTCGAGAAATCAGATAAAACCTGAGGACCTTCTGAGGATAAATAAAATATCAAAAACCTAAAAACACAATAATTATATCTTATTTGTATAAAAATAAATAACTTCTTCTGTTTAAAGTACGTTTTTTATTGTTCACATGTTCACATCTGAATTTTATTCTCTATTTAAACCTTAGATCTTATAAACTTCGGTATAACGGCCACGTAGCAAATAATAAATTAATAATTATTCATATTTCTGTTTCAGTTATTACAGGGCTGTTCGGTTGTTGTTGTTTCTTATTGTCGTAATTTTCAAATAATTTTTGTCTACAAAATATAATATAGAGTAATTTAAATCCTGTGCTATCACTTATATTGAATTTAATGAATGCTTAAAAAAAATAAATATAGTTATTAAATGAATGCTGAATTTTTTTTAACTGAGTGAATTTGCCATAAAATTTCTATTACAAAATATATAATGTCCGACATATCTTAATTAAGTATTATATGAATATACCGTATGGCCAAAAAAAACGGCGTCCAGTTAGCTGGGAAATGACGATCGATGACATTTCCCATATAAATTTACATATAAAATGACAGTAATCTTCATTTCATAGCCATCGCTGATGCCGTTTTTTTTTCGATCATACGGTATATCTGCACTAAGTGGGTGTTATAAAATATCTATGATCATTATTCTACCAACTTTTTTTTAGATGATAGATGATGATGTATATATCAGATGAAAAAAATAAAATAAATATAAATAAATACATCCTGTAGGTACTTTTATAAAGATGAAATACTTTTACATAATAACAAATTTTTCTATAGAATTACACCTAGTTTAAAGTCTTTAAAAACCTATAATTTTACCAAATGTTTTAAGAATAAAAACTTAAAGTTTGTTCATATCTCGGCAACGGTTCAGGTTGTTATTGTGTATACGTGTACATATACCTATAATAATTATAATTATAATATGATAGATAATTGAATTAATAATAACAATACGTTTAGAATACTACGAAATACACCTTAATATTTGCGAGAAAAGGATTATTTTTTATAAGTTATATTTACCCTTCATGTTGTAGAGGTATTTAAAAAGGTCCGCAGTGACGTTGCGGGCCACGCGACCTTGACGATAATTTAAATACGATAGAACCGGAAATAAGAATAACACAGCCCTAGAGTTCATACAGAGTTTTTTTTTGTTATTTTGTTGGTAATTAAATTAACCAACAGTTGTCAACTGTCAACAGCATCCACAAGGTTTAAAAAACTAAAACAGAAAAACTATTTAAAAAAACATCAACATTTTCTAATATTATATTATTACCTAGATATACTTTACATGTTATAGATTAATTTTATAAGTAATAAATAAGAATTTTCTTCAAAATAATGCCAAGGAGAAGCACTCGAATTACAGCAGCAAAAAAGAATGCAGAAATTGAGTTCTTAAGTCAAACAAGATTCAGTAATTCTTCTGATGAAGAAGAGTCTTCTGCAGAAATCTTTCTGTATGGTCGAGATGCAACTAAGAAAAAAAAATCAAGGAAAGCAACAAAAAGTAGGGGTAGGAAATCAACAGCAGGACCATCTAGGCAAAGTAAGAACTTGAGGTTCAATACCTGTATTAAATTAATAAAATTACCTATATAATTTTTTTTAAGAAACATCCACGAACAAGCGTCAAACTCTTCCCTCAAAAAGCACATCCTTGCTTATTTCAGATACAGATGAAGAGGAGGTAAATATTTGTATTATATATTAAATCATGAATCCATATTCTAGACACCCTGTTAAGTCATATTTTGAATTTAAATAATGTGAATCTTGGGTTAAACTTTTTTTCCACTTCCTTGACAGAGTCTATGACTTCCAATAATTGAACTGGAAGTGGTTGCCCAATTTGGGGGTTCGTATTCCCTATAAACTTCACTAGATGACATCAGCTTCACTTTTTGAAGAATCCCAATTAATTCATGAAATTCTAAGCATATTTGTACCATGTACACTTGTACAGCATATTGTGTACCATGTACCAATTATGTCATAGGTGTTTCTTAAAGCTTCCATAGTCATACCAAAGTTTAAAGATCTCCATAGTAAGTTTCAAATAGGCATACCAAAGTTTATAGTGTTTTATTTTATTTTTTGCCAAGTTTAACCTTGGGTTTTACTTGTGTGATTATTATAGATAAAAAAAACTAACTGTCTTGTGTCTGAAATATTTTGTAGTATGTATATCAAAAATTATATTTACATTGTTCAAAATAGTTCATTTCTTTCAATAATTGACATGTTTTTATATTTAGAAAATGTATACCTACTTTTGTGTACATGGTTTCTAATAATGGATCAAATATAGCTTCAATTTATACAAAACATATATCATAAAATGTATAAATTATAAAAAATATATTTTTTTGATAGAAGCATTATAGGACTATTTCTTTTGCCATAGAATATGCTTTAAATAGTTTCATGTTCTTGTTTAATTCTCATTTCTCCTAGAATTTGTGAGTTCCATTTATTTTATTCTGTTCATACAACTTTATAGGGAGACTCCAAAATCATATATGAAGAGTCACTATTATTTTGAAAAAGGATCAATATTTTTTCATTATTTATTAATATATTAGGAAGAAGCGTACATTAATTTATTAGATACTATAAACTTTTAATGAAGCTTTGTGTAAAAAAAATTTTGTTTTTAGGCTACAGATAATAAACGAATACAAAATAATCAGGAAGATGAAATAAAGAAGAAATTGGATACATTTTTCGATGCATTGGATTCTGATGATGATATACAATTTGGTACTAAAAATGATGAACAGGTGTTATCAGTGCCTCATGGGAAGAAGGATAAGCCATTTTACGAAATTTCTTCCGATTCTGAACCTGAGGATAAGGTTTTCTAAATTAGAAAAATTAAAATGTTTATAGCATAATATATATTCGTTTTTAGCCATCTACTTCAGCCAGCACCTCAAAATTTAGTTTTGATCATAAACCTGAAACACTTAGTAGTAGTACCAGTAGTCTAAAATCCAAAGGAAATAAACCAAATAATTTGTTTGACTTTGTTGATGATATTTTGAAGGATTGTGATTTAGTAAATGTTTGCAAAGATAAAATAAAGGAGAATATTCCAGTATCTAGGTATGTATCAAAACACATGATACATTTACTTCTGGTATGCTCTAGTACAAGTTGTGACATAGCATGCGGTAATACCGGGTGTTTCTCAAAAGCAGCTCAAATATAAAGATAATTTGACTTGAATTAACAAGTATGTAACATATTCAATAATTGTTTTTGGTCACTTCCTGTTTCATCAGAAATTACTACAACTTTTGATTTTTAAATGAAACCCTTGGTATATTTTTACTTTATTCAATTAAAAATGACACTCTGAATAGAATGACATATCATATATCAACTTTTGATATTTTTGCATATGGTTAATCTGAAATTATAACATGTGATACATAACGAAAATTTGACTCGAGATACCAAGTGTGTGGTATCAAATTATTCGTAAAAAAATGCTTTTTTCAAATATGCTAATGAGCCACCCTCATTCCATTTGAAAAAAATTGAGATATAACTAAAAATATGATTTGGCCATCTTTTAACTGGCCAGGACAAGACACTAAAAATATTAGGACAATCAAATCTATTTTTCCAAGGCTCCTTGATTAAAAATAATTAGTATTTTTAACATAGCAATGACACTCTAGATTGAAATTTAAAATACGATTTTTTATTAAGCGATAATGTCAAAAGTTGATATATGATATATATATAATATAAATCTCGATTTTTTATCTGAAAAAATAAAAAAGTTATAGGGGTGAGCCACTTTTGAGACGCACCCGGTATATGATCAAAAGGCAACTCTAAATTCAGTTATTATTATTTTAATTAATTAAACGTAGTTGCAGCAACTTTTTGATAGGCACCCTGTTAAAAGTGTATTCTCCTATTCATAAATATAAGTAAAAATTAGATTTTGATTAAAAATACAATGAGCGGTAATAATCCTTCATTTGGATCATGTACTAATAGAACCCAGTGGCGTAATCAAATTTTTGCTGATTTGTAATTACTTAAATATTACCCAAGATATATTTTTTTAAATGAGACTCTAAATATTTTTAAATATATTCTTCTTCCTTCTTCATAATAGGTGAATCGCCTGTTTGGTTTCGTCGTTTCTACTGGTCAGACTGACAAGTTGTCGCTGCATCGTTTTCGTGGACGTCCTAAGCTTCTGCGACCTAGCGGTGTTATGTCGCGTGCAACTCTCACTATCCTTTTGTTGTCCATTCTGCTGATATGCTCGTTCCATTCTTCCTTTCTGCTGCGTACCCACTCATTTACATTTTCAACCTTGCATGCTCTTCTTATGCTTTCATTTCTCTCTTTGTCCAGAAGCCTCTTTAAAGCTATTCTGCGTGGTACTCTCATTTCGATTGTCTCTAGTAGTTGTTTAGTTTTCGCTGTATCTGGTCGAGTTTCTGCAGTCTGTCATTATTGGCAGTGTATGTCATTATAAAGCGAGAATTTTTAAATATCAAACACTTAGGCAATACAATCTGGTGGACAATGATTTAGTATTGAAACTAAAATTATTTTGGACTTCCATTGTCTTTATTTTTTAAACTTACAAACAATTATTCATACATCTATCGTTTTCAGCTTAGAGGATCTAGTAAAAAAGACCAACGATATTATAGGCAATGTTTCAAATTTAGTGGGAGATCTACAAGCAAAACCTGAAGAACCGAAGGTAAATAAATTCATATAAATTAAGTTAATTGTTACATGATTTGATTCAAATTATATAGAAAAATGATGAGAAGGAACCTCCCTGCTGTCCAATATGTTTAGAAACCCTAGACGGCAATATAAAAATAATGGTAACCATGTGTGGACATCTATTTTGTGAACCGTGTATAATTCAGGTTGCAAAGACAGTGAAAAAATGTCCAACATGTAGGAAGACAGTTACGAAGACCAAATACCATCCAATTTATATTTAAGTTTATTTATGTGTGTTTAGATATTTATTTTTTTTATGAATCTTAGTATATTTTTGTAAATTTGATAATTGAGATTTGAATAGAATTATTATAGTAAACATGCTTTAGCATCTCGTACCTTAGAAATGTGTTTGTGTATTTTTTGTATGTTTGATTTTTATTGAATGAAGTAATGTTATGAAGTAAATATTAATTAGATTTTAATGGCAGAATGTATGTATCTTTTAAGCTGCTGTTTATAGCATCTGATAAAAAAAAAGCGGCGTCGAGTTAGCTTGGAAATAAATCTTCATTTTCAAGTGAACTCGATCACCATTCCTGTCACATATAGAGTAATGTGTCAAGGCGACTGATTATGGATTTGAATGTTCTAAAATTTTTTGTTATAAATCTAATTAAGGTTATTAAATATTTAAAAAGTACACTTTTTGATGTTTTTCTTTTGTAACTATTCATAAACTTGATTAAGAAATAATTGGTAATTCTAACTAATACCCCTAATACCATCTATTCATTTGAATACTACCGAAAAATATATATATACTATACATTTCCTAAGTACGTCTATGAAATTTAGAAAGTAGACAAAATGTCGTAACACCCGTATCTGATGGTATTATGAGCTGATCTGAGGTATTATACAATAAATATCTAGTAGATTGTTATTATAGTAATTTAAAGATTACTAAGTAATTTTCTAAAAAGTTGTATGATGCATTGTGAATTTTATTTTTTCGAATTCTTGATTTCGGCTATGCTAACTCTACCTTCGCCATAATGTCAATGATTCTTACCCTCAACTTAAAAATAAAAATAGAACGCGTTTGGCGCAGATGGTAAAAATATCTTTTCTATACTGGATACACTGATATTGCTTTTTTATTTATTATACATTAGTGGTGGATCACGATAGTTCAGTTCCAATTTGCTGTGTACAGGGTGGGTCAAATTCGACGACGCTTTTAAATGGAAACACACTCTTTATTTTCTATAGGAGATTAACAGAAACTAATATCGGTGTCTGGAGCTCAATTTTTGTCAAAAACATGATGTTGAAAACCGCATATATCTGTTACCGTTTTGGAGTTACGGGGTGTTTTTCAAAAATATGCATTTTTAACAAATCGCTGTAACTTTTTTGCTATGGAAAATTTTATATTTGTATGAAAACATTTCCAAAGCACCTTTTTACGTAGAATTTAATGGTTTGAAAATTGATTTTTGAAATGGGACACCCTGTATATTTCTAATTTATTAAAAGGAATTTAAAATTACCTTTCCAAAAATATAACACACTTGATATTTTGCTTGATTCCTCTTCGAGATATAGAGTATATAAAAATTCGCCCGCTTATAGGCTTTGAACGGCATCGGCTGTAATGCAAAAAAAATGCTAGCTGTGAGCATCAATTAAAACGAAAATAACATTTGCTATGAGAGATGCAGAATTCTATAACAATTTAAAATATATTTAACCAACATCAACACATTTAAACTATATCTAAAAACAATAAAAATAAATAGCAAACCAAGACATGAGATTTTGCTACAGGTGTTCGACATATCGACCGTCTTCTGTTATGGACAGACGGCGCAGTTTTTGAACATTTCTCGCGGAATTCATTAGCTCAGTGGGGGGTGAAAAATACTCTCTCATAACTGCTAAGTATTTCTAATTATTTTCTAGATTATACGGAAGAATAAGGAACCTTTATTCTTCCGCAAATATATCCATAGAATTAGATCCATCTAAGTCAGGCGGCCTCGACGGACAACGGCTGGGATCTTCGTTAGCTATTCAATTATTCTTGAAATTGGCTGCAAAAATTTGCCGATAACTTCAGCGTTGAGAGGTCGTGCGTCGTCTTGCTGGAAAACTATGTTTTTGAGTTCCTTTAAGAGCATATCATCAATAAGGGGTCCAAAGCCTACTTAGTTAAAAGTGGTGAACTTTTAAAAATTCTGTATTTCGAAGGGGATTATAACAAAATATCAAGTACGCTATATTTTTGGAAATGTAATTTTAAATTCTTTTCAGTTAATTAAAAATATAGAGGGTGTCCCAAATAAAAAATCAATTTTTCTGTTGATAACTCTTAAATTATTAATTTTAAAAAAGTTATACTTAAACCATTAAATTCTACGTTAAAAGGTGCTTTGGAAATGTTTGCATAGAAATACAAAATTTTTCATAGTAAAAAAGTTACAGCGATTAACAAATCGCTGTGATTTTGTAAAAAGCATATGATTCAATAGCTAAATCGGGGCAAAATTGAACAATCTTAAATTAAAAGAAATTTGAAAATAAAATATAATTTTTAATAGGTATATAAATATAATATAATTTTTAATAAATGTACAGGGTGGGTCAAATTCGACGCTTTTAAATGGAAACACCCTTTTCTATAGGAGATAGACGAAAACTAATATCGGTGTCTGGAGCTCAATTTTCATCAAAAACATGATGGTGCAAACCGCACATCAATATTTGTTACCGTTTCGAAGTTACGGGGTGTTTTTCAAAAATGTGCATTTTTTGTTAAAAATGCACATTATTTAAAAGTATTAAAAGTGATTGAAAATCCGCTACATATTCCAATAGTTCTTCTCCGATTTTTATAGTATTCTTGTGATCTTTCGGGGCACATGATTTTAGTTTTATCCATGTTCAGCTTAAGTCCCAAAGCTTCGTATGCCGAGGTGTTCAACATTTCTTGCAATTGCTGTAACGTATTTGCAACTAGAGCACAGTCATCAGCGTATTGAAGTTCTGTGACGAATTTTGTACGTGTTTTTTCCCTGAGTCTTTTTATGTTGAACAGACCGCTGTCGTATTTGTATCTAATGTCCAATACTCTCTCCTGCGGTTTGCTGTCCACTATAATGGAGAGCGCTGCCATGAGTATGTTGAATATGAGAGGCGCTAAGACGCATCCCTGCTTAACTCGTGTATTTGTTAGGAAGGGATCGCTCAATGATCGATGATATGACAGACACTTTTGACTTGTTTTTGTTATGGAGGCTTTTACACACTGTAAGAAATTTGTTGGGTACTCCGAACTTTTTCATAATTGCCCAAAGTGCATCTCTGTTCACAGAGTCAAAGGCTTTAGTTAGGTCGATGCAACATAAAGTTTAGACAGCTGATCTTTTACTTTTCTCTTAAAAGCCTTAAGATGACCAATAAGTTCTTCATTTTTTAAGTTCTTCATTTTGAGTTTTTTGGGAAAACGGATTTTTTTAGTCATCATCATCATCAGGGGAGAGAAAAATTTGGCGGACTTGTAGGTATATATGGAATTTGTGATCATGCTGAAAGGCAAATCAAACATCAATTGAGTGCGCTACAAGTTGTGTTTGGGTCCACAGGGGATGTTCCCGTCTCGGAAAAGCGGAATATGATAATACTGTTGCCGAATTTCGGAAAATAAGATTAAGTGGGACTATAAACAGTGAAAGCAAACTGAGGTTAGAAGACTCGTTGATCATTTGGAGTCGTCCGCGCCGCATCGATTTTTAAATGCGAAAATTTTCGTATTGCAGTAATTGCACAATTGCAGTAATGCGTATTGTAGTAATTATTACTTCAAAACTATTTAGTATTTAAGAACTACCCATAAGCAATTTATATATTTCACTATACAATTTGAACCTTTTTGGTCTCGGTTTTGGTTAAGATCGAAGATGGTATTTTTACTACAATGGAATGGAAATATTGCCGACATGCAGATTGCCTACATTTTACTACAATCTTTGAAGAATCAGTTTCCAACAAAGGATCTTACAATTGTCGCATCATTCACAACTTTTTTTCCATGTAAAAAGTGTAAAACTTGCAAAAGTCTTGCAGCAAGACCAAGACATGGCCCTGCTAGACCAAGACTAGATATTTACTATTATAGACTGCAAGACCAATACCAAGCGTGTCTTGGTCTTGCCTTTCGTCATCTCTATATGTGTCCGAATTATCGAAGTTTTATATGTCAATAAACTATCAAATCGGAGAGAGACCAAAATACCAAAACGATCCCTCATCCCTCTTCCATCGCCGCCCACTTCCAGCCCCGTCCAAATAAATACGGAAAAACAGGGACAAAAAGGCGAAATTGAGCCGGGGTCCCCAGTAATGAAGACCGTGCGGCCTCCATAACCCTTTTCTAGCAATTATTCGATATAAAACCCTGCCTAGGCGGTCAGCATACCTCGACGGATGCCGTTCCGGCATTGGTCCGCCCGATTTCCAGCTCAAATCGGATTGGCCCCATCCCCAGGAATTTCCTAATCGGCCGTCGGAGGGCGTAGCGCCTGGTGGGGCGTCTTTTGGGAGGAGCCAGGACTCCGCGGGGCCGCCAACTTTTTATTCTTCGCCGGCGCTTCAGTCGATCGTCGCGCTGTTGGGTGCGGATTTTGACAGCGGTGGTAGTACTCCCGTCCTCGTTCGGGTCAATACAGGAAACTCAGACGTTCCGCTGGACAAGTGACTTGTCTGATGTTTCGCGAAACGTTTTTGCCGTTTTGGGTGAATCTAGTCGTCGGTTGTTGTTAATATATTTGGTGCGGTCCGTACGATCTGACATGTGTATATGTATATAATGAGTTGTTCTGAAGTTATGTACCAGGCGTATTATCCGTACTTGTACCAAAGGGCGGGGGCGGCGCCCCCCGTATCTGCTCATCCGGTGCCCAGAACTGGACCCTTCAGTTCGCCCTTTACCGCAGCGCATCAGTATGACAGGGTGAGTTTGAAAGACCCCTCAAATTTCAAAATAATTAATTTTCACTAACTGGCAATTTCTGTACCGCGCCTCTAAAGAACCTGGATTTGCCGGTGTTCTCGATACTTTCGGTACTAGCTAATTTTTGTTCAATGATGGCGCAGTTCATCAATCAGGACGCAAAGGATGGTTCTCACAAGTAAAATCGATAAAAAATTGAGTTTTTAATCAAAATAATATCAAATTATTAAGTAATCAGTCAGAGAAAATTAACATAAACACAAACATGAACATCATCATCATCATTTAGCTTATTCCGTCCACTTCTGAACGCAAAAGCCTCCCTCAACTCTAGCCATTACATTCTATTTTGTGCCATTTGAATCCAGTTTCCAACCACTCTCTTAATATCATCTGACCATCGACTAGGAGGTCGTCCTCTGCTTCTATAGGCCTCGTGTCTTGGTCTCCATTCCACAAGTCTCTTTATCCACCGTCCATCTGTTAACCTAGCCACATGTCCTGCCCAATTCCATTTAAGAAGTAACATGTTGGGAGTTGGAATCAGAGAGTTACACAAACATGAACACAAGCAAACAAAATATACAGGTAACTTAAAACAAGTAATAAGTAAGACACAAAAAAAAATAAAATATGACTTTCCTTATCACAGGCATTGTCCATAAATTTAATTCATTTCTTGCCTTCATGATGTTCTAGAACCTTCTACCTTCTAGATTCTTCTCCTCTAGACTTGTTCGTGCTTATTAATTCCTCTGCCAATACTTTTTCTAAACTTTTTCTGTACCCCATTGCTGCTGCTATTTTAATTACTTTTTTTTGTTTTAATTCTTTGCCTTTCATATATGCATTGTCCATATTTATAAAATCTTCATGATTTCTTTACAATATACTGCCCATTTTTTCTTCTCTTTTCTGTTTTTTTTTCGGCAGATGTGATGCTTTTATAAGGTTTTGGAGAGATGGAATCGTAACACTTTAGTTCATGACAAAAGTATCTTTATTAATATGTTCAAGAACAGGCATTGACTGATGATGAACATGTCATAGACTATGCTGAGTTTGCAATCGTTGCAACACATTTTCTATTGCAAATGCAACATATTATAAAATACTAACAATTATACTATTATATACAGGGTGGTCTACCATCCCCCATATTACAATATGAGAAAATTAACATGAACATTAACATGAACTTAAATGAACACAAGCGAAGGAAATAAACATAGGTAACTTAAAATTGACATCAAACAGCACAAGACATTTAACTAAATTTGAAAAAAGCCTTACATTTAATTTCGAGTCTCGGTTCTTTGACGGCTAAAAAGAGCCGGGAGTTCCAAGCACTTTCAAGACAAAACTATTTCATAGGTTTTATAATAATAAAGTTCTTTCAGTCAAATCAAATTTTAAAATTGAATTGACAACGAAATTTTTCACAAAATATGATTTCTTTTGTTTGGCTCTTGATGCGTTGTTCACATTAGCCATCATTTTTTGATTAAAAAATTTTAGTATCTATGTAAATACTAAAACTTTTCGGAGTAAATTTTGATGAAAAATGTTTGTCATTTTATCTAGCTTTATAATTTTCCTAAAATTTTACGTTCTATTGAAATGAGCGATAAATAATTTCCACTGCACCCATTGTCGTTTTTTTTCTTCTGTAAATGAAGAATAATTTTCCAATCCGAAGTTTCGGACTTTATAGATTATCACCAACTTTCTTAATTTAAATATGGACATAAATTTCCAATACAAGACTGATGACATTTTCATTTTTTTCAATGCCCTCTGTAGATAACAATAAAGTAAAACGTGATTAAAAGTCATAATCATTTGATTTTTTTGAAAAATTCGGCATTATTTAGTTTCCTTAAGTTCTATCATTACGGAACAAAAACTAAAAAATAACTTTTGTAATGATTATACATAAATAAATAAAGCTATTTTTAGTAAAACAATTAATAACTTTTATATCTAATGAAATTACAAAATTATCACTGGAGATATCGTCGCTCATATAATAATATTGCTTTTTAAACCTATATCGCTATTTATCGCTTTTCTTAGATTCAATTGTAATAATTATTATTGCAGATATTGTAATCTATTAAATAGCATTGTTAAAATCGAGCAGTGCTAATTATTAATCAAATAAACAATCATTATATCGATTAAATGAACAATAGTGTACTTTAAATTGAGATAAAACTTACTAACCGCAGAGGTAATGGTAACAATAAATATTAACAGATAATTCTACATCTAACAATAATAGAGACAGTATTACTTTTACCTATTTTTTCACATCATAAATTAAACCATTTCTTTTATAATAAAGTTCTTTGAGACTATATTGTTGCTGTTATAATATAATATTATGTATAATAGAGTTGTCACTATTTATAAATATCTGTGTATCATACTCTAACAGATTATGTAGATAACTATATTAATAAAACACGAAAATATGTCTCTACGTTTATTGATTTCGCAATTGTATGTATTAATACTGACAATAAAAATGGTGTAAAATCTTTGATTAAAAAAAACTAAAGGAAGGAATCTAATAATGTTTTTATAATCATGAGATAACAGTTTCGTTCGCCGTTTTCCTTGATACATTTGAATTTGAATTGAATTTTTGCAGATTTGTTGGACTTTTAGTACATCTTCTGTTATTTCTTGATTATTTTGTTTAATTTACAATCATTGCTTTCTTGCAAAGTGTACACACACTCTGAAAGAAATTATGCCAGGACTCGAGTCATTGAGTCTACACTAATTTATAATGTAAAACTTTTTAAATAAAATTAGAATTCCAGTGATAAACCGGAATTTAAGGGTATGCCCTAAGATTGTTACTGGGTCCTTTAAAAGCTAGACAAAAATATTATATTTTCCTTATTACGAACATTGGTAAACTTTAAAAAAAAACGAGTTAACTTAAAGCGAGTGGCGATAGTGTAAAAATTCCATTAGAGTAGAGGGTAGTTTCGCTCAAAACTTTTTTATTATAATGGATCCAGAAATTTCAACATAATGCTATAAAAAGCTAGGACTTTTTCTCAGTAAGAAAGATACTCTTCGTATAGTTCGAAACGGTTAACGATTTTCAGGATATTTCAGTGTAAACGTTATCAATTTTAGTATTAGCGAAATCATGAGATTAAGCAAATTTTGGATAGGTAACTAGTAGGAATTTGAATGGAGTGTATTGAAATTACTAACAATATAGTTACATATCAGATATATAAAATTTACAAAATATGTGCCATGTGAGCGCTGTGAGCTGAATAAGCTTTCAGGGTTTGTGACCTCCTCAAGAAGCATTTTAGGGCATGTGTTTATAGTAACTTTTTTTATACCAGTCCAATATTCTTGTTTGCGTCAGGTATATGAAGTGAAGCTGTCATGTTTCACATCCATATAAAACTATACTTTTAATAGAATGGTTTTTCTCATATGATATGTATTTGGATCATAATACTGAGTTTAGGCACCCGATGACTTTTTTACCTTTCGGTATTCTTTCCTCGATCTCGCTCTCTTTTCGCCCGGTATAATCTATCTTCCATTTCCGAGTTCCAAGGCAGGTGTATTTACTACATGTCCCTATCTCTATATTTCTATCCAGATGTAGAGTTTCTACTGCTTGGCCTATACATAAATACTTAGTCTTAGACGTATTTACCGACAACCCCCACTTTTCACACTCGTTCAAAAGTCTTGTTGTCATAAATTGTAGGTATTCTTTATCTTGGGCCACTACCACTTGATCATCTGCAAAGTGAAGGTTGTATAGAGTTGTTTCGTCGTTAAGTGGTATGCCGATTCCTCTGCACGATCTTCTCCATTTTTCTAGGGCTTCATTCAGATAGATCTTGAATAACATCGGCGATAGGCAGCAACCTTGTCGACTTTTTTTTTTTCATTTATATGGACCAGAGTGAATATATGGTCCTTACACGATCATCCCGTACGGAACCCTGCCTGTTTCTCTATTTCATACGGTGCATAATCCCTTTCGATTATATTTCGCAGTATCTTTCCATATAGTCTACTCATAGTACAGGGTGGCCCATCGAAAACGTTCCGCAAGGCATAACGGCCAGGATATATTTTTTTTAAAAAATCCAAAAACACGTCAATTTTGATTCTGAGGTGGACAACTTTTGCCCCAAAAATGATTGCAAAATCTTCAACCCTCTAAGCGGGGGTGTCATCCCCCAACTTTTTTCAAATGGGAAGGGGGGTCAAGTGGTACCGCAATGAAAAGGGCTTTTTATTCCCTATACTTTCCCGCTTCGTTTTTGAAAATCGGTCGAGTCATTGAGAAAATCTGAAGAATTGAAATTTGAAAAGTTTATTTAAATATTTATCAGAGTAAATGATAAGGAAAAATTCCTTCGACCAATTTGCTGTTTTTTCTTATTATTTCTATTTTAGATTAGACGTTTACGCATTTTTTCACTTGCCAAAAGGTTGAACGATCAGGTGCGGCAGTTGCTAGATAGCTGTTCTGTGACTTGTGCGTTGAAGTTCTCAATATCGTTAAACTGACCTACAATAGAATTTCCAAAAATACCAGCCCACACGTTCAATTTCTGAGGGTTTTGTATGTGCACCTCGTGAAAAACCCTGGGGTTATCCTCAGTCCAGTACCGACAGTTATGCCGATTAACTATACCAGTCAAAAAGAAAGTACACTCATCCGAAAAACACACATTAAATAGGAAATTATTATCATTCGCCCCTCGTACACTCACAGTTTCACAAAATTGCAAGCGATGATCAAAATCGTCTTCGTTGAGTTCTTGTACCAACTGAATTTTGTACGGGTGGAACTTGTATTTTTTTAATATTCTTTGGACACTTGTACGATTCACGCCGGCTAATTTTGCATTGGCTAATTTTCTTGTACTCAGCGTACTATCCATGGCAACTTGGCCCAATACGAATACCTCCATAGCTTCATTTACTACAGGGGTTTC